TATTAACTAACAAGATACGGATTTCAGTTAGATTTTTGTTGTTACACAGGAACCTAGATCCCTAGAGCCACTTCAGTCTATTTAATTATTTTAACTTTAATCAGAGGCACTGTTTTTTTTTTTTTTTCCTGAATTTTCCAAATGCGTGTCAAGCAGGGTCTCAAATCCACTACTCTGTTTCTGCCAGCCTAACTTGGCTTGCAGTAAAATCTTAAATTTCTAGTTTCTTTTGAACATTCCCCAAAACCAACTCCTCCCCTGCAATCGACATTATCAACTTTTTCTTTTTCTTTTTTATTGTACTTTTCTTTCTTTTTGTTTGTTTTTTTTTTTTTTTGAGATGGAGTTTCACTCTTGTTACCCAGGCTGGAGTGCAATGGCACGATCTCCACTCACCGCAACCTCCGCCTCCTGGGTTCAGGCAATTCTCCTGCCTCAGCCTCCTGAGTAGCTGGGATTACAGGCACGCGCCACCGTGTCCAGCTAATTTTTTGTATTTTTAGTAGAGACTGGGTTTTACCATGTTGACCAGGATGGTCTCGATCTCTTGACGTTGCGATCCACCCTCCTCGGCCTCCCAAAGTGCTGAGACAGGCTTGAGCCACGGCGCCTGGTGCTTAAATTTAGGTTTCTGTTTGGAAACTCGATGGAACAGTTTCCTCAGCCACATTTGCTCTTTTTTCAGTCTTGAGTTTTAGGACTGTTTTGGGATAACCTAAGATAAACACAATAGCTATGTCTTTTGGAACACTATCAGCTCCTTGGTAATTTCTTTCCAGATGACATGCCATGTGTGGGAATGTAGCTTCTCAGGAGAGCAGCTGAATGCCCTGAGGCTGAGAGGAATATATTGGTTTACCCTTTCCATACAAACAGAACCTTTTGGGACTTTAAGGTTTTCTTTCCAACCCCCGTTCTTCCTGGTCAATCAATTGGATGGCTGTATTTAGAGAAAAAGACAAAAATAATGCCTGTTTTCTGAATTCTCTCATATTTGTGAAGGCAGCAAAACTATTTTAAAAGATAACAACAACAAAAAACCCTCCCACAGGGAGGCAGTGCAAGAATTTGCAAAGCAGAAAAACAGGGACACACAGGAGGGAACAGTCCAGTGTCTTCTGGGAGGGAGAGCTTTGAGCACATTAGTGAGTAGGGTAAGGGTGGGAGAATGTCCCAAGTAATAGGATTGCCTGATTTGACATTTGAGTCGATAAGTGTCTTTTCTGGCCCAGTTCGCTGGCTCACGCCTGTAATTCCAGCACTTTGGGAGGCTGAGGCAGTCAAATCACGAGGTCAGGAGTTTGAGACCAGCCTGACCAACATGGAGAAACCCTGTCTCTATTAAAAATACAAAAAATTAGCTGGGCGTGGTGGTGGATGCCTGTAGTGTCAGCTCCTTGGGAGGCTGCAGCAGGAGAATCACTTGAACCTGGGAGGCAAAGGTTGCCGTGAGCCAAAATCATGCCACTGCACTCCAGCCTGGGCAACAGAGCGAGACTCCATCTCAAAAGGAAAAAAAAAAAAAAGATATGCATCTCTTCCAATAAGCACTGCTGTTCTCTTAAGTTTGCCAACTGTTAGGGACAAGCCGCCCCAGAAAACCCCCTCAGTGCATATGACCCCCACCCTGATTGCTCTGCAGCCACATTCCTAAACTCTTATCTAGACGCCACAGCAAGGCTACCAGACATGCTACGATGAACAAAGCCTGATTATAGCCATCTGGACAGCACGGTGGAGGGAATAAGAAACGAACTTACAAATTTCTGTTTTACACATACATGTAAATTCCCTTTTTTTTTTTTTAATTGTCACCATGAAAGTCACAGGATGATGTAAGCTTGTCACAAGCTGCTAAACTATGTTGGTGCTTGTTACAAGCTGATAGATTACCAACATCCGGAGATTTCCTTAGGCCCCTCTAACCCCACATAAACCTGCTCATTTTGTAAGCTTGGGACTGTATCTTCTGAGTGTTATGGAGCAGGCTGGCAGGTCAAAAAACTTGCTGATCTTAGATTTTGGTGCCAAAACCCAGGAAGGGGTAGACTCTGGCTAGACACCCTTAGAGTGGGCTTTCTCTCTCTCTCTCTGCCCGCCCCCCCATCTATCTATCTATATCTATATTTATATCTGTATATCCCTCCCTTCCTCCTTTTCTATCACCCCTCTCCTGCCCACCCGCCCCTTCCTGAACCTGCCAAAGATCTGGAGGATCTCCCAGACTCTCCCATTGTTGTGACCTCATTCACTATCAGAGTTCTCGCTGGAGTGAGTAAGAGAGACTCTTGCAGTTTACCTGGGACCCTTGACAATCTCTGCCTTCCTGAAAGACCCAGCGTTGGGCCAAGAGCTTCCTCCGGCCTCCAGACCTCCAATTCCTCCAGCCTGACTTGGTGGCTACCTCCTTTATTATGGACAAAGCCTGTTGGACAGGGGATGCCCCTGCCGTCCTTGTCATCGGCTTTCTGTTCTTCCTCTACCTCCCTCCCCCATTCACTATGGGAGCCTCTCAGTCTACTCCTCCCTAAACTATCCCCTTTGGGTGTCTCCTGTGTAATCAATCTCAGTGCCCTTGGCCTCTGTTCAGAGGTCTGTTCTAAGAGGCATATATTTTACTGCAATAGCGCTTGGCCTCAATACAAATTAGACAATGGCTCCCAGTGGCCTGAAAATGGGACTTTTGATTTCAATATACTTAGAGACATAGACAACTGTTGCCATCACAATGGGCAATGGTCTAATGTTCAGGCTTTCTTCACTCTCCATAGTCATCTGTCTCTCTGCCCATCCTGTTCTACTTTCCAAATCCTCCTCCCTCTCTCCAAACCTGACTCATCTCCTGCCACACTCCCGGCAGCCCCAGCAAATGACTCCTCTTTTTTTCACCCTGCCGATTTTCCTCTTCCTTGATCGTGCCAGAGCATCATGATCGTTCATTGTATGTATGCCCTGCTCTGGTCCTACCCCTTTTCCCTGCTCTCTCCAACCACCCTGCTTCTGACTCTGAGACCTCCCCATCCCCACCCCTTACCCACTCGTGAGCCCAACATGCCCAGCAACCAGCTTCCTTGCTTCCCCTCCGGGAGATAGCAGGGACCAAAGAAATCATCCCAAGTCCACGTCCCCTTCTCCCTCTCCAATCTCTCCCAGTTTGAAAAAAAAATATTGGGTCTTTCTCCTTTGATCCCAATACTTATATCAGAGAATTTAAATATCTCACCTAGTCTTACTAATTCATTTGGCATTATTTCCATATTATCCTCTCTTCTAACCCTCCAGAAGAGAAGGAAAGAATGTGGCTTGCTGCCCAGGCACATGCTGATGATCTTCATTGTCAAAATTTTACTAAGCCCATAGAAGCCACTGCCATCCCCCTGGAAGAGCCTTCCTGGGAACACCAACCCACAGACCCCAGCCGGGCATCCTGTAACCATATGAGTACTTGCCTGATGGCAGGCCTTAACAAAGCTGCCCATAAGGCTGTGAATTTTGAAAAACTCAAAGAAACTTACCAAAGAGCAGATGAAAATCCTGCCCAATTCCTTTCCCACCTTCCAGAGGCCCTCCAAAAATATACATACGTCAACCCTGACTCCCGAGAAGGAACTATTGTTCTTAATACCTATTTTATCTCCCAATCTGCGTCTGACATCTGGCACAAACTTCAAAAGGCTGAAGATGGCCCTCAAACTCCACAACAAAGCCAGGCATGGTGGATCACACCTGTAATCTCAGCACTTTGGGAGGCTGAACACCTGAGGTCTGGAGTTCAAGATCAGCCTGACCACCATAGAGAAACCCCATCTCTACTAAAAATACAAAATTAGCCAGGTGTGGTGTCCCATGCCTGTAATCCCAGCTACTTGGGAGGCTGAGGCAGGAGAATCACTTGAACCTGTGAGATGGAGGTTGCAGTGAGCCAAGATCATTCCATTGCACTCCAGCCTGGGCAACAAGAGCAAAACTCTGTCTCAAAAACAAACAAAACAAAACAAAACCAGACCTCCTTAACCTGGCTTTCAAAGTCTTCAATAACAGGGATGAGCAAAGTAAATTAGATAAAGGACAAAGAGCATGTGCTAAATACTAGCTTCTATCCATCAGCCCAGCCATAGTACCTAAGGGCACAAAAGACCCAATAGCAGTCGCCCTCCTGGGCCTTGTTTTAAATGTGGCAAAGTAGGTCACTGGCGCAGGCATGTCCTGACCCACAAGTGCTGAAAAGTCCTGGCCCAGTCTGCCAGCAGACAGGCCACTGGAAGTCTGACTGTTCTCTCAACAGACAGACAGAAAAGGCTGGACCTCAGAGCCACCAACCGTTCAACAAAATGAAAAGTGAAGAATTGCTTGCACTCCCACAGCTTCTCAGTCTACCTGCTGAAAACTAACAAGTTCCAGGGCCCCTGGCCCCATCTGCCATTACTGCATTGAAGCCCAGGGTAACTCTTCTAGTAGCAGGTAAGCCAATGTCTTTTTTAATTAGTACTGGGGCCACCTTTGCCAGAATTCTCAGGACCCACTCGTTCCTCTCAGATCTCAGTTACGGCAGTTGATGGACTCATTTCATGCCCACGCGCCATCAGACATCGTATTTGTTCTCTATTTGATAATATTTTCTCACATTCTTTTCTTATCATTACCCTACCTCCATCCTAGGCAGAGACCTAACCAAATTCAAAGCTTCTGTCACCTTTTTTTGTTCCTCACAACCAGATTCTCTCCACTGCCACACCAGCTCTCGACCCCTCTCATCAGGTGGAAGGATTCTTTATACTGAGAGAAGCTCCAGAGCTTAATTAGCTGGGATTACAGGCATAAGCCACCAAATCCAGCCATCTTTTTGTATTTATAGTTGAAATGGGGTTTCACCACATTGACCAGGCTGGTCTTGAATTCCAGTCTCATGTGATCCATCTGCCTCAGCCTACCAAAGTGCCAGGATTACAGGCATGAGCTGCCGCATCTGGCCCCATTTTGACTTTAAAAATACACTTGTAACCATCTTTTTCTTGGGATTGTGCTACTATCCAATGAGTGCATAGTGAGGGCAGTACTGCTAATGCCTAAACAACACACTTGCATCAACTAGAGCTTTGCTTTACACTGGTGCAGTTAAAAAAAAAATACACTTATACCTTTCTAATTGGAGTGTATGTTCAGGGCAACTTTATACTCTAGGGTTGCAAACTTCAAGCAATTTTCAACCTTTAGTCCAAATAAACTCCCTACTTAGTTTACCCCAGCTTTTTCCTTTTGGGTCAGAATATTTTTTAGAAAGTGTTGAAGGAGCCTCCATGAGAGACTCTTTCCCCTGGTTTTACTCTACTTACTATAATTCCAAGATTGCAGAGTTACATTGATTCCACCCAGAATCTGTGCATAAAAGCTGGCCTCTGCCTTGGATTCATGAGACAGGCTAGACTTTGGGTTGCAGTCATACAGAAACCTCACAGAAGACTTTTTTTTTTTTTTTTTTTTTGTATCCTGAGAGGTCAACATAGACATCTTAAGCTGCACTCTTAGAGTGAAGTCCTTTGAGTTTTCCAGATCTTGTCCAGTGACCTGCTACAGCTGAGTGAGAGTCTTCTGGTGTCAGCAGAATCCTGTGGCAGAATCTAACTTTAAATGAGCACCTTAGCAGTAGGACTTCAGGCCCCAAAATATCTAGAGCTATAATCAAAACTATGCCTTCTTATAAACTATGTTACTGAAGTAGGGTTTTTTGTTCTTTCTCTTAACTCAGAGTGAGCTGATCAGGGATAGGGGATATCACATCTGGATCCAGGGTCTGCAGCCATACCAGGGAGGTTTTATTTTTTAATTCACACCCCACAAAGTCACCTGAGTCTCCTGCCTGGATCACTATGGAAACATCAGCCCAGGGTCACTGAAGACAATCTAACCAACACCTATGTACATTTGAAACATTTGAGAATGTCCTATGCAGACTGGGGTCAGACTGATAAAAAGGTCTAATTCTGCTCCTATTTCATAGGAAGAGAAATTATTCATCTAGGGATTGTTTCTTCCTTCACAGAAAGGGTCTCCTTGCTTTGTACCTAGATGGGAGTTGTTCTAGTTTTCCTGTTCTTTGGTAAAAAAATGAGGTGATTTGAACACTCAAACTGACCAATCAGCTAATTCCTTCTCTTTTATGTGACCATTAGGAAAACAGATGAAGCAGTCATGGTCCCTACTATTCAGAATTTTCAGTTTAGGGCACATGAATAAATGTTTGAATTTAGCATCAGTGTGGTCAGTATAAAGATGGGAGGTGCACAGAAGCATTAAGCTTCATTTGGGTCACTTCCCTTTTATTATGAGTTTTATGCCACTCCTAAAAAGCTATTCATGGGTAGAAAATAAGTTCTTATTATTATTTATATTGCTTTTACCTTACTAAGAATGAATATTTAGCTTATAATACAATTGCTCTAGTAAAACATAAGAGACTTGCTTAAATATCTTGTTATTGTATGTTAGAGATATGGAACTGGCTTAAATAGATTAAAATTACATAAAATCAGCTGGCATGGTGGCTCACACCTCTAATCTCAACACTTTGGGAGGCTGAGGTGGGTAGATCACAAGGTTAAGAGATCGAGACCATGCTGGCCAACATGGTGAAACCCTGTCTCTACTAAAAATGCAAAAATTAGCTGAGTGTGGTGTCATGCACCTGTAATCCCAGCTACTCAGGAAGCTGAGTCAGGAGAATCACTTAAACCTGGGAGGCAGAGGTTGCTGTGAGCCAAAATTTTGCCACTGCACTGTAGCCTCAAAAAAAAAAAAAAGATCACAAAATTTGGGAATCAAATTTCTCTTGGGCAGGTTTAGGGAAAACAGAACTAAAAATACTCAACAGCATAGAATTTAGAAGCTTAGGATCCACTGTCTGTCCCAACACTGCCCAGATTCACCCTCTGCAGAACCTTGTCCAGGTCTGACTCCACACTGGAATCTCTCCCAGTACTGTTTAGAGGACCTCAGAGTTTAGGGTTGCTGCTTCTTTCCAGAACTGATGCTCACAATTTCTTGAAACCCAAAAGCAGATAAATGGGAAAAAATACATACTTTGGAGCCTTAAATTTATTCTTTTTAGTTAAAACCAGTGTTTTTTTTTTTCGAGATGGAGTTTCGCTCTTGTTACCCAGGCTGGAGTGCAATGGCGCGATCTCGGCTTACCACAACCTCCGCCTCCTGGGTTCAGGCAATTCTCCTGCCTCAGCCTCCCGAGTAGCTGGGATTACAGGCACGCGCCACCATGCCCAGCTAATATTTTGTATTTATAGTGGAGATGGGGTTTCACCGTTTTGACCAGGATGGTCTTGATCTCTTTTTTTTTTTTTTTCTTTTTTTTTTGAGAGAAGGAAAGAAAAAAATAAGTAAAGGAGAGGAAGAAAGAGGAGAGAAAGAGGGAGAGTAAATGGAAATATTGCTTTATTTTGAAAAAAATTGGGTATTAATAATGGCCAATCAATGTTTCATTTAAACTAATGGGTAGGTGTGATGTGGTATTGACAAGAATGTATATTTTGTGTATTTGAAGTGGAGAGCTCTATAAATATTTATTAAGTTTACTTGTTCCGGATCTGAGTTCGAGTCCTTGATATCCTTATTAATTTTCTGTCTCATTGAATCTAAGTCTCCTATCTGGGTGTTAGGATTGTTAGCTCTTGTTGTTGCATTGATCCTTTTACCACTATACCTTTGTTGCTTTAAAATCTATTTTATCTGATACAAGAATTGCCACTCCTGCTTTTTATTTATTTATTATTTATTTTTGCTCTCCATTTGGTTGGTAAATCTTTCTCCATCCCTTTGTTTTGAGTCTTTGTGTATCCTTGCATGTGAAACAGGTCTGGATGTAACATGCCTTTGGGTTTTGGCTGTGTCTTTTGATTGGGAATTTAGTCAATTTAAATTTAGGGTTACTGCCATTTGATGTTGACTGGCTGTTTTATCCATTTGTTGGTGTAAATTCTTCTTTATGTTGGTGCTCTTTACTTTTTGATGTATTTTTAGAAAGGCTAATACTGGTTGTTTCTTTCTGTGTGTAATGCTTCTTTCAGAAGCTCTTGTAAAGCAGGCCTGGTGGTAATAAAATCTCTGAGTTCTTTCTTGTTCATAAAATATTTTATTTTTCCTTCAGTTGTGAAGCTTAGTTTGGCTGGATATGAAATTCTGGACTGAAGGTTCTGTTCTTTGAGGATGTTGAATATTGGCCCCCACTCTCTTCTGGCCTGTAGAGTTTCTGCTGAGAGATCTGCTGTAAGTCTGATAGGCTTGCCTTTGTGGGTTATCTGACCTTTCTCTCTGGCTGCCCTTAGTATCCTCTCCTTCATTTCAACCCTGGTGAATCTAACGATTATGTGCCTTGGGGTTGCTCTTCTTGAGGAATATCTTTGTGGTGTTCTCTGTATTACCTGGGGTTGAATGTTGACCTGCTTTGCTAGTTTAGGAAAATTTTCCTGAATAATATCCTGAAGGGTATTTTCCAGCTTGGATTCATTCTCTCCGTCGCATTCAGGTACACCTATCAAACGTAAATTTGGTCTTTTCACATAGTCCCACATTTCTTGGAGACTTTGCTCATTCCTTTTTATCCTTTTTTCTCTAATCTTTTCTTCACGTTTTATTTCATTAAGTTGGACTTTGACCTCTGATATCCTTTCTTCTGCTTGAACAATTCGAGTGTTTAAACCTGTGCATACTTCTCGGAGTTCCTGTATTGTATTCTTCAGTTCCATTAATTCACTCATACTCCTCTCTAAGTTGTCTATTCTCAATAGGATTTCATCAAACCTTTTTTCAAAGTTCCTAGTTTCTTTACGTTGGGCTACAACATGTTCTTTTAACTCACCGAAGTTTGTTATTATCCATTCCTTGAAGAGTGATTCTGTCATCAGGAGGCGCTCGTTCTCCATCAAGGCTTGTTCCATTGTTGGTGTGGAACTGTGATCATCTTTAGAGGGAGAGGCGTTCTGACTTTGAGTATTCTCGGCTTTTTTACGCTGGTTTCTTCCTGTCATTGTAAATTTATCCTCCTGTCGTCTTTGAAATTACCAACTTTCAGATTAGGTCTCTTGAGTGGATGTCCAGGTTGTTAGTTCCCCGGGCCAGAGCAGCTGCGTTAAAACTGATGGTGCTTTTCTGCCCAGGATTCTCCTGTCGGGCTTCCTTCTTGTTTCCGTAGTAGGCGACTCTGCCTTCCCGGGGCTCCAAACCTCGGTCAGAAAGGGAACCGGTCCGGTTTACTCTGCGCCGAGCGCTGCCGCGTCAAGGTGCTGGCGGAACCGCTGCGCTGACCACGAGAGTCGCGCTGGCGACTCGTGTGTTTCCACCACTGGGGGATCTTCTGCTCCGTGAGCGACCAGACTTTGTCTGAAAGTGTGGCGTCCTTTAGTTCTCCGCGCCTTCCCTGAGAGCTGCAATCCCGGGATGTTAGCGATCGGCCATCTTGGATCGTTGGTTCGGTCTTGATCTCTTGACCTCGTGATCCACCCGCCTCGGCCTCCCAAAGTGCTGGGATTACAGGCTTGAGCCACCGCGCCAGGCCGAGATACTTTAGTGAGAGGTGAATTCACCCTTTTCTTGTACAAAAAAAGGTCACAGGGGCTACTCTCTTGAGTTTGGTAAGGGCAAGTCAGTGTGGCCTATATTTCCTTTACAGAAGCAGAAATTGCTGGCATGCATCCTTTTTTCTTAGACTTATAGAATGTTTTAGAGAATATTAGTGTGTTAAATGTTATTGTGTTAGATATTTCCAGTCACCCAAATAAGTCAGAATTAGTTCTCTTAACTTACTTCACCTGTAGTCAAATTAAGAACTCAGCCCCTTGGGAAATATGTGGGTTTTGTTTTTTTTTTTTGTTGTTGTTGTTGTTGTTGTTTTTGACATTAAACATTCAGAGATGTAGCCATAGAATTATCTCTAGAGGAGTGGTAATTCCTGAACCCTGCTCAGCAGAATTTTTATAGATATGTGATGTTAGAGAACTACTGAAACCTGGTCTTTCTGGATGAGAATAACTTTAATACATAATTTCTAATACTACCTCAGGGTTTCATTTCCTTTCTGTGTAGAATGTTTCTTGGGAGATTTTTGTTTTGCATGAATTAA